CACGGTAGTCTATGAACTCAGAGTGAAAGCATATGGCTAAAATCCCTTCCCTACTATCACATATTCAGTCCTGGTTTGATCTTGGTTTACCTCTTGTTTTCAAGTGTCTTCTTCCTCTGACCTGCCAATGACCCCATCACCACTGTGCTCTCTGATATGTAGAAGTGTGCTTCTTTTGCCAATAAGTGAGCATTGTTCAACTTACGGGCCCTCAATTACATCATTGACTTTGCATGTAAACCTGCACAAATTGGTGTGGTGTGAAAGGGATGACCACCCGCAGAGGGTGACGTGACATTTTTCGGTATTTAAGTAAGAGTAAGAAAAGTAATACATTCTATTCTTTTAATTGTAGGAAGTCCCACTCATTACATACGGGAATAAAATAAAATGAAAATGTAATCCGTTTGCTGCCCAGAAAAACAATGCAACTAAAGTAGCCCCTCCCCAGAATACAACAGCCTCATTACCCCCTGCCCCAAAATATATTAAACACCCCACAAACCCTTTCCCCCTCATGTCCCCCATGTTATTATGATGCCATCCATTTAAAATTCTAATAACACCAGGTGCATAGTCCCATCCACAGTTATTCACGCAGTGCATTTGAAAGACGGTCTTTGTTTTGTTGGGTTTTAATAAAATAGTAATATTATTATTATACTTTTAGCATTATTTCTTCACTTCACTATTATTTCTGCATTGGCAATTAGTTAAATTATTAATTGTGCATTGTATGAAAGCTCCATCATGTGTCACTATATGATTACTGTCAATATGAATTTTGGTAAAACCATAAGATATGTTTTTTCACTGTGTCATTCTACACTTTGTAATTATATTTGAAGGAGGAACGGGTTAATTTACCAGCATGAAAATAACATCTCTCTCAGCCTTCCACCACAGCCCACAGCGTCATGTTTTAACTAAGGTGGCATGTTTGTGTTGGCCGCTGTCGCAGGATAGATGGGGTCAGGCCAGTGTAACCTTGGAGAAACAAATATGCATGATCAATACACGCTTTATTCTGAGCATCTAAATGATTCTTATGTTTGAAGATGCCTCATGCCCTCTTATTTGCCTCCAGTCCTGAGATTAATGCAGATAGGACAATTTAAAAGAGTGTGCAGCCGTGGTGCGTTCACATGTCATGTAATCATAGGTTACGGGAGCGCTCTGGGCACACACACTAAGTAATGTTACAGATAATGAATTGCTTTTGAAATATAATACATCGTGAGTGGAATTCTTTGTACTGCAACTCGCTACAATTAAAGTTATTTATCTCTCCCGTTTTTCAACTTCATCAATTATATTGTGATACACTTAATGTCCATAAGAGGATGATGTATGATTGGTCTAATTATTTCTTATTCACCATGCTTTCTAAAGCATATCAATTTTGTTAATACCATGTAATTAAAAGACGTCAGGGCGCTACAAGTTGCTGGCTGTATTAATGACTATGAAAATTATTTTAATTAAATAGCCAATTATAGAAAAATCCTAACCATGAGAATTGACATTTAAATGAATTCAATTTAAATTGCTTTTCAACACTGTTTTATCAACCTTTTATGGGCTGAATAAATTATTACATCAAACAATATAGTATGTCATTGATCATGCACAAATCTTGTCCCATATCCATACATTTTCTAGCACTTTCCTGATGCAATACATCATTCAGGGTGATTAAGTTCTGACACAGCCATTTGTTTACTGCGTCTTATCCACATATACTGGACTCACAAACGCAGTAACAAATCCAAACTTTACACAAATGGCTTTTTATCAAACAGTCCAAACTTATTGAACACAGTTAATGCACAAGATGACAGGAACAGATAAACCCCCAACCTGTAGTGTACATAATGTATAAAATAGAAAACAGCATGTATGCCGGTAAATACACTGTGAGGAATAAGAATAAATTGTTGTGTTTTTATGCCTTGTTTCAAAGTAACAAGTAAAGTGCATTTTTATTGAATAAAACAATAACAATAAAAAGACACTCTACTGAATTTCTCCTACAGGGGATCAATAAAGTATCTATCTATCTGTCTATCTATCCATATATCTGATATTTTAATTTTTGCCTTTGAAACACAACAGTATGTTTGGGTTAAAGTAGTTAAAGTAAAAATGTACAGTACCCCATTAATGTTTATTGTAAAAGTGTATGTGTAAAAGTTGCATTTTGATACCATTAACAATTTTCATTGTATAGATTTTGAGTGATTTTCTAGTTCTCATGATTGACATAATCACAATGATTCATCATAATCTGCAGTTCGAGTGGATTTGTTTTGTGTTGATACTGAAACCCATATTATGTTGGTTATTTGTGGTATACTTCCTCCATGTGTTTCCACTTGAAGTTGTTTTATTTGAATGATACACATGCCAAATGCATTCAGCAGTAGTATACAGGCCTCTATGTGATTTTAGCTGTGTTTTCATAACTCTGGTCACATGCAGCCCACCCAGTTTGTTAAAAGGCTTTTGTGCCTAAAACATCAGACTGATATCCTGTGGTGCTTTCTAATGCCTATTAAGATATGCTGTAGCTCATTTTATATACATATACACCCTTAACGAAGGTCATTTTTCACACATTACAAGCCAAATGATTTGCAGTTAACCCATGCAAACAAGAGGTGTGGTGGGCAAACTGTTGTGACATTCATTGTATATAATGAAATCTTAATATGGTGCATATTTAAGTGAAAGGTTAGCAACATAAAGGGCAAATGGATTGGCTGGCAATGAATTTTAAGCAGCTATTGATTTTACACTACGAGCAACATCTTTCCCTGAATGATAATTTTGAAATGGCACACTGCTTATCTTAACGGTGATCTGAAATAACACAGAGGGAATATTAGGACAACTCCGCCGTCCACTGTGATAAGAAATGATGTGTTTTGCATAGTAAACAATGCAGACAATGGGGTGCACATTATTGTTTCTCAAACGGTGTTGCATGTACCAGATCCTGTCTGAATTTAAATCCAGTTTGTGCTAATGTGGGTTTGTCCCTATTAAAAACTGTGCCAAATGTGTGTGACCTGGTTAAGCCCTGTAGACTGTCCTGTTTTCTACAAATAATATTGCACATTATAGATTAATTTGATAGAGAAAGATATGTCATCTCCTTTAACCAATTGTTAAATATAAAACAACTAGAATATAGTCACTGTATCATAAGTTCCAGAGGATGCAGTGACTATAGACTGCAAAAGTATTTAAAATATGTTCTAGGATGATTAATTGGTTGGGAGACACAATACTTGTTTTGTCCATGGTCCCCAAAGCCTCTTTCTGAGCAGATGAGCGTCGACATGCTTTATGTCTCTTCTGTCTGTGTTCTATTACGTTACGCTGTCTGATGTAAGGGTCACTAGCCCGAAACGTCACATCTTTGTGGTCTGTAAATTGACTCTTGAGAGCCCAATAGTTTTGTGGATATTCCCTTTGAAGCATGTTTTACCTTTTTGTGTCCAGCATGGAGTGTAACATTTTGGATTTATATTACTATTCCTTTACCCTGGTATTCACACATATCATTTACTCATTTGTTGTTGATATTTCTTTGCCATACAACACATTGTGCCTTTTTTATTTTTACTTTTTTACCCTCAAGCAATAACTCGACCTCAAAGTTAAAATAATGGTATTTGTTATATCTAATGTTCTATATGGCAAGACATTAGACTTAAAAATATTCATTTAGTCCTCCGACATCATAAATCATTGGCGAAATGCACTAAATTTGTAACAAGTGCTGACATGAGAGATTGATAGTGCAGCTCTTTCACAATGCAATGAGCTGGAGATCAGTAATTACAGTCAAACTTTAGAGTATGACAACTTATAAGGCACTGAATCACTCTCCATCTAGGAACTGAAAATCCCAGTATATTTTATACCCAACAGTATATTATCGCTATAAGAACTAGTAGATCATGATTGGCAAAAAAAAAAAGACAAATTAACTTGCAATTAGGTTCTTAACAGAAGATCTTTTTGCCTTCTTTGTTTTATTCTCTGAGCACAAGCATAAGGTTTTATTCCTGTTACTTTGTAAGTGTTGAAACTTATAGGCTTTCAATGAACCTGCAGGCGCAGCTCAAGTTGGACCCAGAAGTGTTGTTTATAACTTTTAACTGCATGGGCCAAACGTTTGCATTTGCGCCACTTATCAAATATAATTCTAATATTCACAAACTTGTGTTGAAACAATTGCATTTATACTAAAGAGATCAATCAATATGTATCATATCAAGTTTTATTTTGAGTTTTTGAAGCAGGTGTTTCTCTTTACTTTTTTTCTCGTTTACAATAGAATACAGTGTTTGCTTACTCCCTGTTTTTGAATGTAGATAATAAGCGGGTGTCTCTTCCCTAATTTTTTTCTTACACTGGGGAAAAATACACACGTTTTTACATGGCTATGATAATGAATGGAAGTATGGCCATAGCAGGTGCAGAGTCCAATTGCTTTGCTTTCTTTTGCTGTGCTTAAACCCCTCTGTCACGTCGCAGAGGGAATCCAAACATATTTATTGAATTGAGTGCGTGCAACATTGGAACAGTTTGCGGCCCGTGTGAAGTGCGCACGGAGCGGAGCCAGAGCAAAGAGCGGCGTGTTCTTCAAAGCGAAGAGTCCCCGTAGCTCCGCCCCTCTGCACCGTGTGACAACAACAACTCATCCACAGAGCGAGCTGCACTTTTCAGCTCATTTTCCTCCTGTCATTCCTCCCCCTATCTTTGATCATTGTCCCGTCGCCGAGAGCCCCCCTCCCTCTGAAAAAAAGAAAAAACAGAAAGAACAAACTCACTCAGCACGCCTTTCTTTCATTCTTTCTTTTTTACTTGCTAACTTTATGTGAGGAACAAAACTCTGGTGGATTCTTTTATTCGGAGGTGTCTCTTCAGGCTGGCTTTTCTACTTTGAACTTCGGCGCGCGTCCTCTCGTCTCCCTGAGTAGGTGACCATGGCCGTACCAGCTGCTCTCATCCCACCGACTCCGCTGGTCCCTCCGCCGTCTTCGATCTCCATACCCTCCGCCACCACGTCCCCGCCGTCCAGCACCTCGTCCCCGTCTCCATCGCTCGTCGCTCCGCCGTCATCAGTCGCAGCAGCAGCAGCAGCAGCCGCAGCAGCAGCAGCAGCGCAGAATCTGTTCAGATCGGAGCTGCTGGCCACGGGCAGCCCGGGTCTCCCCAATCCCAACAAACCGGTCTACTCCACTCCGTCTCCCGTTGAGAACATCCCGCAGAACAACGAGTGCAAGATGGTCGAGTTGCGCGGTGCCAAAGTGGCGTCTTTCACCGTGGACGGCTGTGAGCTCATCTGTCTACCACAAGCCTTCGACTTGTTCCTCAAGCACCTGGTCGGCGGACTGCACACCGTCTACACCAAACTCAAGCGGCTCGAGATCACGCCGGTCGTGTGCAACGTGGAGCAGGTCCGCATCCTCAGAGGGCTCGGCGCCATCCAGCCCGGAGTCAACCGCTGCAAACTCATCTCCAGAAAAGACTTCGAGACGCTCTACAACGACTGCACAAACGCCAGGTCAGTGCGCACGGACAGATGTCATGTGTGTGTGCGTAAAAACGCGACAGTGGGAAATACAACTCGTGTAGAACAAACTGTTGGTGCTTTACTCACAATATTGTTCTTATACTATCGCTTTTGTGTTGTCAAAGCCTTTGCCAGCGTCAGAAGTGCTGAATAGGAGAGGAAAAGGCGCACGCCGCGCGTAGGGATGTGGCTGAAAAGTTGAGCGAAAGTTTTAAAACACGTGCAGGGCAGTGCAGGGCCATCGTGATGGATCGCCTGTCTTCTTCAGAACAAATGAATCGATAATGTAGTCCCTTCTACACTTGTCTCAGATAAACTTTAGATGCCAAACTGTCAAAGCAAAATGTACAATCAACGAGCTAATTTTCATTAGGAAAAGACATAACGTTTAGATCACTCACTGTTAGATTTAAATTTTAATTTAACATCAATGTGATTAAAATATGTCACTCAAAACTGCAACTTAGATGACACTCAGGAAGATAGGGCAGTGTACTATTCGCACCAAAAAATAATTATTAAACTTAAATTTTCATCTTTATTATGTTATATTTTTGTCAATTACTTTTTTATCTGGCCTTCATTTAAAAACAATTTGAATTGTTATATACAAAAAGTAACGTAACTTTGCACTTCAAGTTTATCACACCATTAGAGCCTTAATATTTTAAGTATATAAAACACCTGAGAACACCAGGAACCCATCACCAAATGAGAGCATTGCCCCCCATTACCAAATGAAATATATGTTTTATGAGTTGAATTATAGAGTGATTTAAGCTTATAGGATCAATATTTGATTAAAGGGCATTTTTACTGTCCTGTTGCTCACAGCTATGATGTATCACTCAGCCTCTACGGATGGTTCAGCCTGGTCAAATTTACCATCTTTACCTGACAACATGATTGATTCTCTATTGATCTGCTAGTCGCAAAATGAGCTGGAAATGCAAATATGATGGAAAGGCTCATATCAGTAGGGAATAGTAATAAACATTTCACTTGGAGTACTTACTATCAAAGCACTTAGTCCCTAAGAAAAATCTTTAACTCAATCTTTCCTAATTTATTGCATTTTATAATAATTCAATCAATAAAATAAAAAAATATATTCATAATAACTTTATTTATTTTGAGTCACTTTTAAATTACATTTACATTTTATTTTATTCATAATGTATTTATTACATATTCATGTAAAATATAGGTTTTAGCATTATATTTCAGCTGCATTGTCTGCTCATATTCAGTCATTCTTTTCTTGCTTTACTCCTGAAACGTTTGACTATATTCCACCTACTTCCGTCCGCATTTATAGCATCATTTACACAAAGCTGTCCCCCACTTATCCATAAATAAATCCCTGTATGCCGCTGCTTGCTCTCCCAGTGCGGTGCCTTGCTTTGGGGGGGCTTCAGGTGACAGAGTGCGCGTGTGAACTCTGGGGGTTGTCAATAGAGGGATGGCCGGCGATGGGGTTAAGGGATAATGCAGTGCCTTGCGTTGCTTTAATGACGCTAAAGTGCTAGGCTATTACGGGCACATGGACAGCACTGTAATTGTCTGTGAAAGCAGCCAGGTTCTCTCCATGCTTTGGCTGAAATCAATCACTCAGATCTGGGCTTGCCTACCCGCCCGCCCGCCTCTCCTGCCTGCCTGCCCCATTTGGAGAATTACATCATGGAACAGGCAAGGCATCCACTGGATAAAAGGTTATTCAAAAATAGTTGATTTTATTTGCTGGGATGTTTTGTCTTTCATTTAATTGCAGATGACAAAATAAGGCATGCTGAGTCAAACAGGACATTGACTGGGCTGTTGGTGAAAACAAGTTGTGGTGTAGTGTAAAGCACCAACTGTACGTGAGATCACAGGTTGAGCAGATAGAGTTACAAAACAACAGCCCGCCGCCACAGAGACACTTGAGCTTTTCATCTGGCCCGTTACTACAATGTGACTTTTTATTATACAGTACAGTGGCCTGATGACAATGCAGTGAACACTACATGTCGTACAAAAGGCTGTACTATTTCACGTGCTGTTTTCCACTCCCATGCTCTTTTGTGTTAAAACAGACCTCTCATTTTGCACGCAGTGTGAATGTGAATAGCATCACAGAGCACCGCTGCGTCCTGCTGTTTTACTTTTCATGTGGACACAAACAAATGCAGACAAAATTCCCCACATCGACATAACCATTTTACAACCCAGGGACCTTTCTGGAGTATTACTGCATACTTCTGCTGAGGAATAGGAAATAATAAAAACTACTGTAGCAGATAATGGCAATGATCTCAAACCAATGTCATGATTTTTCTAACTGTAATTTTTTTTGGAGCACTCTTCTGTCCGATTAGTGTATTTGTCCTGCTCCCGCCCTCACGCAGGTTCAGTAATCTTTCCCTACATTCTGAGCATGGCCCTTGTAGGAGCCCTCCAGGAGCCCCCTCTGTTCCCGCTACTTGTTTTCCTTTTCATTTTCCCTGCGGTGGGATGGAAAAGGTTCTTATTGCTGCGTGACACTTGAACTCTCTCAAAGGTTATTATAACAGGAGGGGCGGTGCACAGATATCACATATCTCTCATTGGTCTGCTTTTGTGTTTTGGAGGCAGGCAGTTCGACGCTAGGGCTCAGAAATGCAGCAGTTAATTGACAATCATTGTCTACCCCTGAAGGTTAACCGTACGCCCCAGACAATGTCCCACCGCTGGGAATGGAACGGCTTTTCACTTACATGCCCTTCTTAAATAGATTTCCCCGTCTTGCTTCACTCAAACATATCTGACTGTGAAATGTTACAAGTGCCGGTCACGCTCATGTGACTTTAGCTTTAACAAATATATCTAATTGATAGTGAAATGACAGCAAGTGTTATAAGACATATCACCTCTTGTTCCTATTTCCAGAGTGTTTATGCCTAACACACATATTTGCAAATGACGGTAATTGTTTTGTTTAGCGCTCAGTGTGAGCTGCCACAGAGGGTGCCAGCTTGTCTCTCTGCTTCCTTTCCTCCGCTGAGCTCTCTTATAATATATTTGTTTTCTACAAGGCACGGATGTGTTTACAGGTACTCAGGGGAGATTTCTGGATTCCATTCAAATCATTCCCAGTTAGAGTGGGTGCTAAGATACCCGTCACCCAGCAACCACATCCAAGAGGGAGCTCTGGCGATAATAACTTCAAAAACAGAGTGACAGATGCCTGATTAGAGAGAGGGAAAGAATGAGAGGGGAAAACGGAGATAATGGTATACAAAGCTGTTTAAAATCCAAATTGATTCAAGTACTTTCTTGAAAGTCAAATTAGGTTTGGCATTTGGTGTTTGTTTGTAGATAAAAAAACCATAAAATAAAATATTTTTTCTTAATTTAATATATCTTATCCACTACCGGGGCTGTGCCAAATTTGATTAGGTACTGTACGAGTGCTCAAGTCAACTGTGCAGTTGGCAGATGGAGTCAAGGTGTTTTTTCACAAACAAATAGACTCCTTGAAAATGGAGAATAGTTGGTTGTTTGTCATTCAGTCAGTTGCAAATAAAAACAATCTGTTAAAATCCTTGCACTTTGGTTACCCAAAGCTGATTCTATTTTCTTGATTTATTTTCAGATGATAAAATATATTTTTGTATCCTCCAATCAAGCTGAGCCAAGGCTAACAGACCCCATATTTCACTTATTAAAGAGGCTTTGTTTGACACTGTCATGTGTGGATTTAGAGGCTATTTGCATGGCAAAGAAGCCTGTATTGTTAATTTGCTTGTTGGATGCATTAGTTGTCCAAGCTCCTATCTTATTTGCATGCTTGTACTGGATCAGCAATAAAATTACCAATTAATTCCACTGCAGAGTGAAGTGGTTTCAACCAAGTTTCCACAGCGATCTGTCTCGTGGAGTGACCTATTTTAATCAGCCATAAAAGAGGCATTAGCCGTCTGTTTTTATGGACAACAGACCAAAGCTGTTGAGCATGTGTCAATTTGACATATCTGGCATATTGAAGCCGATCCCACTCTGCTTGTACCTGATGTTTTACTCTTAATTACCTGACAAGCCAGCCATAGATTTCAGGTCAGTCTGACTTTACCCACTTGTTCCAGCCAATGTGGACTGTACTGAGACACTCGTTCACATTACAGCACATTTAGGGAGCATGGCACGAGTCACTGACACTTGGATCACGATGTTAAACACTACTGACAGAAGTTAGCCGCAGCAGATGAGATTTCCTGATTGGAGAAGGAATGTGCCTCTGTCTAATATGGTCACATATAGAAATTGATTTTCCTCAGAAATTAATTAATTTTTCATATAGCCTAAAGCTGAAGTTAAAAAAAGAGCGCACACTTGCTGGTTTCCTATTTTCCCCTCTTTTTAAAGAATTATTGCCTAATCATATTAATACTTCTGCCCCAAGGATGAAAAGATAATTGTACAAATGCATTTGGAAATATGTATCACTGAGTATTTATGATTAAATTATGCAAATAAGCCAGCTCTCATCCTTCGTGGGCCCAGATTGTCTAATTAGGATTGATATGGCGAATAGATGTTGGGGAATCTGAATACAAGCATGTCCAAAGAGCAGAAAATTGAAAATGACAAGGCTGGAATCCTTAAAAAGTGTGCAGTTTTTTTCTGCTGCTCCCCCCTTTCTCTGTCTAATTCGGCGTAGCTGTATCAGGAGTTAATTTTCCCCGGCTTCATTTCTCGTCTGAGCTGACAGGAAAAGGAATCCATCAGGGAAGCAATCTCAGATGGGATTCCACAAATTTCCTCCACTTGTTTTTTTCACTCCCTCTTCATTTTGTGCTGAGGCTATCGGGACAGATCTTCTCCTGAGTAAACATGCAGATGTTTTTCCTTCAGTGTCAGTATTTTTAGAGCTCTCCACTCAATACAAAACGACTCCTCCTTGGAATGGCACTATATTAAGAAACGTCAACCAACAAAACACTATTATGAACATTCCACCTTTAGCAAATACA